CTAACAGGTAGGTTTGGATGAGTTGTCAAGCTTTGAGTGGCTCTAGACACTGCTGACAGCTCTCTAGCCATGATATTATGAATTATACAGTGGTTCTAGTAATGTTTCGCTGGTTCTAGCAAAGTTTCACTAGTTCTAGCAAATGATTGGAAATTGATTGCTTTTTATAATACCTTTAGCCATACGAAATTCCATTTTTGGGGGGATCTCTAAGTGCAGCCGACAAACATAAAATTTGCCTAGAGTTTTGGAAAATTCCCCAAGCAAAATGTAATCTTTTTCAATAGCTTCCAAGGCCTTGAAACTTGTGCAACCACCTTTGCATTGAATATGGTTGCAAGTCGCTAATGGTGACCAAAACAACATGTCTGGTTAGTTTTCAACTGAATTTTTGGGCTTCTAGTTAACATCAATGGTACGGTTTTGGGGATTAGTTTCACTTCCACACCTTCACCATCAAGCCCTCTTTGGCGAAGTCGGGCAACATCGCCATTGCCAATGCCAAGCTTTGCTGGCGCGAATACCTTGCTTCATTAGATGGGCAGCATTCACCCACCTATGCCTACGAAGCCACTACTCCCATAGTTTATCCCGGGTAGCTCCCATGAGCTTGGATTCACAGGCTTGTGTTTATCTACAATAAAAATAAGATACAAGTGAGTATATATTCAAATATATAAGTGCAAAACGTATGGATATGTGCAGCGAAGAAGGGTACTCCCTTGTGTATTAAGGGGGTAATGTGGATCACTGTTTAGCTACGCCCTTCTGTTTGTTGGCCATGGCGAGTGCTTGTATAATGCTATTATATATAGCTGGCATGATGCTAAGACAAGTAGTAAGTGATATATATATGTGTTGCGATATCGTTGTCCCGAGTCAAGCATTGTTGGCCAATGATACCTACTAACATGTAAAGCATAGAAAATTTATGTTATGAGTTGGGATTACTAGCGACTGATAATTTTTTCCCTTTGTGTGAGAAAATAACGATGTGAATGGCGATCAGTCATGTCAGTATTGCAAGGTTAGCCATGAATAACCTCCTTATAGACAAAGGGACAATAATGGCTAGCTTTGCCCATGGTTGAAGCGTGAACAATGTGGAATCAGAAAAGCATTCCCATTAATCTACCAAGTCGCAAAGGGGTAAATCTCACTAAGCTAGACTCTGCCATAGCAATGAATATGTCATAGAGAGAGGTGGAGTTGTCTCCATGGAAGGGGGATTCCAACCGCATTCATAGCCTTCGATACAACA